TTAAATTATGTGTGGAATCTCCGTTTTAATTCAGCTTAACAGTGATTCTGAAAACAGAGAAGTAAAAAAAAAATCTCCACCTTCAAAAACAACAATAACCCAAAAAAGCAGTGTGTTTAGCCTATTGTAGAATTGCCTTCTTCTACCTATTTTCATTTCAGGGGCACTGCCAAGAAAACTATACAGATAAAAAGAGAGGACAGCAAATCTTTGGTTTCTGCATCGGGCCAGACAAATTCATACACACACACGTAAAGAAACACACAATTTCTTCTGTGGGATTTATCCATGTACTCCCTTCTGCCAGTATTGTTAACACACCAGAGGTGAATGGGCAAACGTGCAGTCCCTCTTTGCTTCCACACACCCTCATTCCCACACATCCTGATCTTCTCTTGTGCAATCTCCTTGCAGTATATTTGCTTAATTGAATCCAGCTACTGTCACGGAGGTACAGTGGGGAATCGAATTCCCAACCTCTGGCTCCACAGCCAGAGAACCAAAGTATTGAGGTATCCATGCTCTGGCCAAAGATGTTTTAACCTGAACTGAAAAGCCCTTTTGCTCCTTTTTTGACACAGATGAGTGAGATGAACTTGTCTTTCAAGTGACTGCCATATCACTGCTTGACCCTAAATTAATTTGCCAACCAAACATCTATTGGCAGTGACCAAGAACTTCAGTGCCTTGTGAGCAGATGCTGTTGTTTCCCGTCTTGCTAAAGACACCAGCAAAGAGGTCCTTCTTTCCCCTGGTATCACACCTCTAGAACTGGCTTCTTCTGACCAGTGCTGACAAAATCTTCAGATTTTTCTTGCTCACAGCACAGGTATGTGCTTTGTTGTGCTTTACTTCTATATCTCCTCACCCTTTCTCACATATTCTGCTCCAACTCATAGTTGGAAGTAACTTCTTCTTTATCCTTGCAATTAATTCCCGTTTTGCAGGAATGAAAGAATGACTAAACTACAACACAACGGCAATGCAATAAGAGATCATTACATTTATTTTGTGGTGCAGCTGCAACTATCTTAGTTATCTAAAACAAGACTGCTGGATAGCTCCGTGGTTTAGGTCTCTGGTTGTGCATCCAGAGTGCTGGATAGCTCCATGGTTTAGGTCTCTGGTTGTGCGTCCAGAGTTTGGGAGTTCAGTTCCCCACTGTGCCTCCTTGACAGGAGTTGGACTCATTGGGTCCCTTCCAGCTCTGCATTTCTAAGATCATTATTATCTTTATAATTACAGAATTACGGTCTCATTCCAGCTATGCAGTTCTAAGATCATTATTACCTTTATAATTACAGAATTACGGTCTTCGTTCTTTCTGTTTTATGGACAAACACTCTGGGATTTCAAAAAGCAACCAACTCATTGATTTCTCTACATTTAAAAGTAATTCTTAAATATTGAAAAGTAAAGAGTTGCTTTAAACTTTTAAACATAACAATAACTAGCTATATGTTGGAACTGTACTAGTAAAAATGCAATACTTTCTGAGCTCTCGTTCTGCCTCTGATTCGGCTAAAACTGTTCCACCCCTGCCCGCTCTCCTGTATCATACATTCTTCATCTAGTTGTGTTCTCCTAATTGGTACTAAAAGCCCCATCATTGGCCTTGGTATCTTTCCCCCAAACCCATAATGAGTCAATGAACTGGATCCCCCAGCAGCAGTTTGTGTCAGCCTGCTGCCGACTTCGGTGCATTGTGCACCCAGTGGAACTGATTTTCGCAATGCTTACTGCACCGTGGATATTTCGAGTGTGACACAATCTTTGATCTGAAACAGTGAAGAACAAACATAGGTGAGAATCCATTGTGTTCCTAGGGTTTTTTTAACAGTCAGATTGCTGAGCATTATAAAAAGAAATCCGGTCATTAGGAACTTTGGCCCCTGAGTAGCACACTACTATTTACAGACGCAGCTGGTGTGTGTCTGAGGAGGTGGCTTTTCAACCGAGATGAGCAGATGTAAATATTCTCTCTCAGACAGACGGATGGATATTTGTCCAGAGTAAACAGCCTTTAAACGTTGACCCTCATCCCCAAGTCTTTGCCCTAAAGCTGATTTCCTAGGTCTTGGGGAGGTAGGTATGTGGAACCTCCAAACACTGCTCATATTATCCTTACAAATATTTTTGGGGATTAAGGCTTTTAAATAGCACAGCACAAAGAGGGCGGAGGGCTCCTATGTGGAGCTTTATACTTGTAAAGTAAGGGGGGGGGGGAACTGCTCAGATCCTGCAACCTGTAAGTCTCCTGACAGTTAGTGATGGAAATAGGGAATGCTCATCACCCAGAAAAACCTACTGCTTTGCAGTACTTGGGATGCGAGGAGGGCTTTACAGGATGCCATTGCTGAAGGGATCTGAGCTTTAAAAAAAATGAAAAGGACACCAAACTTATGTCAGATGTCTTGCCCTTCCAGGAAGATTCTGGCTAATTGTTCCTTCTTTGAGTGATTCTCTCAGTTATCAGCTAGCACAACAGAATTTCCTGCTTCTCTAGACTCCAAAAGGGTGTGTGCAGGATTTGGAAAAGTTACTGTTTGAACAACACACCCATAACCCACTGCCAGCATGGTCATGGCGGATGTGGGTCAGAGAAATCCAGGAGTCATACACTAAAGAAGTAACTTTTTAAAGGTCTGGATGCATTTGAAAGGGTCACATATCACATTATCCCTACAGAAAATCAAGGTCAACGAATCCTGTATCTCCAAACTGTCACTGCCTGTCCTAAGTTTTAAAGACCAGTTTCAGCAATTCCATTCTAAACCATTATTACGATGTGCTACATTTGGTGACCACATGAGACCTGGCCTTTGTGATAGCAACCCTATATCTTTGACATTCACTCCCTTGCAGAAACCTATACAAACTGTTGAAAGAAGGTTGTTGTGGGTTTTGCATGTTCTGGAGGTTGTTCTTCCTGACATTGCAAAGAACAACCTTCAGAACACGGCCAAAAACCCACAATAACCATCAGATCCCGGCTGTGAAAAGCCTTCAAGAATGCATATGTTGAAAGAAGCTTGAAGGCTTGTGGTTTTTTTCGTCCTTCTTTGGTTGATGTGTTGGTTCTTAAATTCTATTTCTTGCTCTTCCTTCATCGCAGTTCTGGGGAGAAATTGTGTGCTTTCAAGTTTATTCTTTTTTTCCATTCTTGTGGACTTAGTGGATATGCCTTGAAACGTAGGTGAAAAATCAGTGAAAGGTATAACTTAATGTAGTTGTGTTTGGCGTTGGTGGACTTCTTTTGCAGAGCATGGCGAAGAAAGCAGAGTGAAAGCTCAAGAAAACAAAATTAAGGGACACCCTTCACCATTCTTTGCAATGCCATTGATACCCCCCAAAAGGCAGGAAACTTCTTAACATGAACCGTATCCCCATCAAGAGCACCCAGGAAAAAAAAGCATGAAGTTGAGAAGTCCATGCAGAGTACCATTTATAAGTAACAAAGGGCATATTGTAAATAATGATGGGATCAAATTGGAAAGCTCAAGAAGACCCAAGAAAGTTGCTAATTTGGGACTTTAAACAGAGAGAGAGAGAGAGAGAGAGAGAGAGAGGCACAAAATATGCAAACCCCCATTTTGTTTGCTGGCAGTTCTTTTATTTTTTATTTCTAAGATTCATATACACTTGCTAAGAGTACGGGAATGATGAACGGTAATATTTTCCCTTAAAAAAAAAAAAGGGATAGTCCCCCATTTCAAAGGGATTTATGTGGAAGAACTGAATATCTTTATGTCTGGACCTGATGATTCGTAGGGTCCCGTTCAGCTCTGCAGTTCAAAGGTTATCATCATCATCATCATCATCTAAAATCTTCAGAGGAGACCGGTTCAGTGCTTGTTCACTCAGCTGGTGCAATGAGGGTAGGTATACTAGCTGTGGTGGGGAGCCAGCTCCATTTGGGATGATGGAGATTCCACTTCGGAGAACCCCAATCTACGCCTGCAAATAAAAAAAATATCTATTAGGATTTGGCTCTTTTTCCTGAAGGAGGTTTTTTCCTCCTCCCCGAGAGTCTTGGAAGCAGACAGCGCGAACGTCAGCCGCTGGGTGCGTTCCCTCCGAGGCGCTGCAGCGGAAGGAGCGTCCAAAGAGCAGAGAAAGCTTTCCAGCAGAAGTTCGGGGGCAGGATTTTGAAGGGCTAATTGCGCCAGACTGCTCGGAAAGAGTTAACGCGAAGAGAAGAGCGCATTGAGGGGGAAAGCTATTCGAGCCGACACTTCAGCACGAGAGGTGGGTCTGCCTGGCTTCCCATTGGCCTCCAGGTCTATCCAAAAAACTCTCCCCTCCCCAGGAAAAGGAGGGAAGGAAAAAGAAGAAAAAAAAAACCCCACACACCCCGCTTTTCATTTCCACTCCTCCTTCTAGTCTCAGGGGAGGGGAATTGTTGGAATCGTGAAATCAAAAATAACCCTCTTATGTCAAAGCAGGGGGAAGAACGTATAAATACCGAGGACTCTCGCAGCCTGCTTTGGTGCTTCAAAGCTTTCCAAGGGAAGCTGCCCGGGAAGAGCGAGAGGGCTGCTAGGAAAAGAGAAGGGGGATCAGCTCCGAGGGGAAGAAAGAGTAGAGAGCCCGCCAGCCCGCCGATCCTTCCCACCCTCCTCCCCGGGCGTCTTTTAGCTCCGCACACTTTTCCAAGTGGACACTTCGGTGGCGGCGCTGCTGCTGTTGGCTGCTGCTTTGTGGGCTTCTGTTTCGTTCTGTTGTTGGTCTGTTGTTGTTTTTTAAGCCCCTATTATATTTCCTGACACCCTGCTGGGAAAGGTGAAGGGGCTGCTGCTAGAGGAGGAGGGACCCCCTGGCGATTTTTTTGAGAACCGGGGGAGGGAGGACTGGTCCCCATCAAATCCCTGCGCCTTAGGCGCACCTGGCTGCACATCGGCGCCAACAAAAACCGGGCCACCTCCCGCCCTCGCTGGCTTCCTGGCCCTTTTTTTAAAACCCTCGCCTTTTCCTCCCCAGAGGCGCCCTCGCCTTTTCCTCCCCAGAGGCGCCGCTTTGCAGATCTGCAGCCGACTTGGGGAGGGGGGGACGACCCAGCTGGGAATTCGCTTCTCCAGCGGCGTCTCCCAGGCGCGCTGTGCGTCTCTTTCTCTCTCTTTCTCTCTCGCGCCCTGCCTCCCCTGTTCGGCTCCGACCGGCCCTTACGAGCATCTATGCTCCTCTCGCTTGCACCGCCGCCCTTCCCTGGCAGGCTGGCACCTGCTCTCACCCTCTTCCCCCTGATGCTGCTCCTGCCCAACGCCTGGGCACTGTCCATCCCCAACAGCGACTCCCAGGAGGTGGTGCCCGTCTGGACGGCGGCTCCCGGAGCGCGCGCTGGCCAAGGAGGGCTGGTTTCCTTCTCCCTGGCGGCTTTCGGGCGCGAGTTTGTGCTGCGGCTGGAGCCCGATGCCAGCTTCTTAGCCCCTGGGCTGAAGATCCAGTACGTTGGGAAGCAGAAAAGCCCGGGGTTCCTAGCCGAGCAGGAGCAGGAGGAGGAAGAAGAAGAAGAGGAAGACCGGGGGCTGCGACGGAGTTGTTTTTACTCGGGGACTGTCAATGCGCAGCCAGATTCCTTGGTGGCCGTCAGCTTGTGCCAGGGCATCCACGGCTCCTTCTTGGTGGATGGAGACAAGTATGTCATCCAGCCTCAAGGTCACCGGAGCGGGGATCCTCTCCTCCACGTCCACCAGCTCCAGAAGAGGGGCTGGCCCAAAGAGGCCTCCGAGGACCTTCCAGAAGAGGGAGGTCAAGCAGAAGGCAGCGGCAGCAGCCGGACCAAGCGCTTCGTCTCCCAGGCGCGCTACGTGGAGACCCTGCTGGTGGCCGATGCCTCCATGGTGCGGTTCTACGGGGAGGACCTGACGGTAAGAGGCTCTTTCGTCTGATGGCTTAAAGCTGGTGGGAGGGAGAGCAGCTGGGCTAGGGCATGCAAGTGGCCCCGCACTGCATGCGGGCCCTTATTGTGGGTGGCTCTGCTCCTGCAGAATGGCCTGCTCTTGTAAGAGGAGGAGGTTCAACTCTTAACAGCCTTGGACCCAGAATGCCGCCTGAGAAACCATCTTTTTTTGAGCCTGAGGTCTGTATTAGGGAAGTGATCGTTGAGGTTACTTTATAAGGCAGTTTGGACAGGGATGGGGATGAATTCTAGAGCCAGAATTAAGTAGCTTGGATCTTCTTGAGATGTTTCGAACCATGAATCTCTTGGTCCCAGGCTGTTTGTTGTGCTGGTTGAGGCTTGCCAGAGTCACAGTCCTAAGAAACTCAGGGGACACCACGTTGTTATTCACCCCTCCTCTAAAGCAAGCATGGGCAGGGATTTCCATCTGTCTGTGTGTCTGTCTTTCCCTCTCTCTTTCTCTCTCACACAGAAAGAGAGAGAGAGGGAGGGGAAAGAAAGTAGAACAGGAGGCACAAGGACCATAATGGAGGTGTCCATAAGAGAATTTGTGACCCTCCAAAAGTGATCAGTCAGCAGCACTTGTCATCGCTTACCACTAGCTCTGTTGGCCAAGGTGGGTGTGGACGGCAGCCCACCAACCTCCAGAAGGCTTGCCAAACCCTGCCATAAGATTGTTGAAGGGTGAGTATTCACCTTTTCCAAAGCTGCATCTTCTCAAAAGGGCAGACTTGCACCTTAGCATAGATTTATTGCTTTCCCTTGAGGGACCCTCCATGCTGAAATTCATGCCTGGGTCCTGTCACACATCAGACACCATACCTCACCATAGGATGCTACCGTGTCGATTATTTCCCCGCACCCTGCTTCACATCGCTGAACGTTGTGCCAGTGGAAGGATGGGAAAACACTCAGTGTCAAGGCATGTATTCAGTATCCCTATGTCTTACCGGGGGGGAGGGGAATGGGGGGACTGGACACCCAGATGCCATTTTTGGCTGTGCATCGCTTGAGACTCTAATAGCAAGTAGTTTGGCCCGATCTGTAAAACTATAGATTTGGAAAGCAGCTACTGTCTCAGCAGAATGGGGGAAGAAGGGGAGGAAGAAAAGAAGAATCTACATTTTAACAAATCCATACACATATTTTGATTTGGGTTCCTTTTCACAGTGCTCAGTCAAGTGTCCTACAGACGTTGGAAGATCATCTGGGGTGTCCCTCAACAATCTTGTCCAGTAGAACGTACAATTATATTATGTCCCCTGCAGTCCTTATTCGGATAGAGACCAAAATCTGATCACCTGCTGTTGTAAAGCGATTTAACCTTACAGTTCATATTTCCTTCCCTCTAATTGTCCCCATCTGTCTTCTTCTTCTAAGAGCTGCCTCTTGTATTTAGCAAATGCTACCTCAAAGTACTGCTCCTTGACCACTAGCTAGATCTAGCGTGAACAAGGGAAAGGAATCTACCATTTAAGAAGACCAGTTTCTGCTCCTAGGGAATGTATGGGAGGAGGGAATTTTTTAAAAAAATCCCGACTCTCTGGGGCTGCCCCTTTTCTCTGTGGATTAAGAGAGCTATTTGAAGCAGGAAATCCATAAATTCAAGAGCCATTTCTTCAAGTTATTCCATATCAGGTAGTGTGAAAGTCTAGCTGAAATATATTAGCTCTAAAAGGGAAGTTTCCAGAGTGGAATTTGTCTGCTAAGACAGCCTCCATTTCTGCTGCACAGTTACTTTCACAGTGAAGAAATTAAGAGGTAGTTATATTAAGCGCATTGTGTTAAACAGGAGGGGAAAACAGATGTGCAGAGCTCATTCCAACAGTTTTTGCTAAGCAAATGACTTAGTAAAATACTGTACTCCCTTATTTAGGTTTCAAAATCAGAGCTGTTTTGTTTGGAGAGTTAATAGCAAAAAGGGGGGGGTTCACAAATCAGATTTATGGGGGAGGACTTTGCTTCTTGCAAAGACTGTCAAAGATTTAAACATGAAAAATGGGAGTTCTGAAAGGTTGCCATGACATATCATATTCATATGGAACAAAAAAAGAGATAAAATAAGTCCTTAAAGTTTTCTTTTTTTAAAAAAAAGACCTGCATCTAAGGCAGGAGAGAAGTAAACATTTTTTTAAAAAAAATGTAGAGTTAAGCTGTCTAGAGGACTCAGAAAGTTAGTTATATGGCTGGCACCAGAGGTTGGAAGTCTGATACCCTACTGTACCTCTCAGGAGTGTTTTTTTTTTTTTTTTAAATTAGAGTTAAGCTGTCTAGAGAATTCAGAAAGTTAGATATATGGTTGGAAGTTTGATTCCCTACTGTACCTCTCAGGAGAATAGAAAGCCTGTGTAGCCTTGGGCAACCACAGAAGAAGGGAGCAATAAACTACTTTCAGATTACAAAGGGTTGCCAAAAGTCAGAATCAATCCGATGGCACATACAGTATTTATTATCATTTATTAGGGATTAAGGCTGTTTTTAGGGAGGTTTTCCCTCTCGTGCTATAAATACAGTTGATGCTCACATACCTACAACTTTTACTCTACTCCCTTTGTGATCAAACAAAATCTGTGTGATTTTAAAACCACCCAAAAAAATTCCAGCTTGTTTATGAGAAGTTTATTTATATGGATTTATTTTAATTATTTATATGCTGCCTTTCTCCCCGTAGGGGACCCAAAGCGGCTCACAACAGAGAAGACAACAAATTTAAAAACACAATATATGTGTGTTTATATTATACACATTAAGATTTTGAAAAAATCAAGTGGAAAACAATAACTTGGGATGAACAGGTGGAAGGGATTCTCAAGCACCACAAACTTTTCTGTTCAGGTGGAGAACAGAAAGATAAAGATGGGTCTAGTCTCCTTTGATGGACACTGTTGGCATTGAGAGGATAGTGCAGTGGAATATTAAGGTGAATCCTCCTCTAAGTCTCCTGTTAGGAATGCTAGTAAAATACCCAGAATCTCAAGAACCCTACTGATAACTTCATCTCCCGTAGTATGTTGGGTCCCATCAGATTCTTAGGAAGCATGGCAGAGGATGGAGAGAAACATTGATCCTGTTTCCAGGTGGCTTCAACTCAGACTAAGGGAGAACACTATTTAATTCCTCACTCAGGAATTAAAAACTAGAACTTAATCAATTTCACCCATCTTCTATAGAATGGATCTGCTTCAAGACATTCAGCGTAATCTCAAAATCCTCATCCCTAAACTGGAAAGAAGCACAAGTACACACCCTTTCATAATTTCTCATGATACCTTTTCTTTTTCCTCCATTCCCTTTTGTCCCCAGCTGTGTCCTCTCCCTGGGCAACTGAATTTAGATTCCAGGTTCTTTGGTAAGAGGGACCTGACACTTTTGTCATTACTTTGTGATATGCCATATATATTGGATGGCATTATGTGAATATGTAACATTTGGGGTAGATAACATTACGACGAGCTGGTGGATAGCTTAGTGGTCTAGGTCTCCACGCTGGGGAGCCAGCGGTTGGTTGGGAGTTCAATTCCCTGCTGTGCCTCCTTGACAAGGGCTGGATTTGATGATCCGTAGGGCACCTTCTGCCTGTGCTGTTCTAAGTTTAATGAAGTGCTGGATAGATAGCTCAGTGGTATACTTCAGCCAGTTGGAATACCTGGCTGCCAAGCTAGGATCCAGGAGTTTGAATCCTCATTGTAAGTCCTGGAAGAAGGGCCAGGCAATATCATACAGAGCATATGTAGCTGATGGGGTTAAGCACACTGCCACCAGTGTGGCCTTCAGTAATCTGTATAATCATAGAGCACACTATCACAAGAACATACTGATAAACCACTTCTGAATACTTTATTCCTTTAGTGCCAGTGTGGTATGGTGGGTAGAGTAGCGGACTAAGACTCAGGACACCTGGGTTCAAATCCTCACTTGACCACAGAAACTCAACTGGTAGAACCATTCCTTAAATATCACACATCCCTCGAAAGCCTTATTAGGATTGCTGTTAAGTCAGATGGGACTTGACAACCCATAATGACAGAAAATCCTGGTAGGATTGCCTAAGTCAGAACGGACTTGACGGGTCATTATTAATATTTTTAAACTCATCAGGCAGAACGCTGGTAGGGTCTGTAGACTTCTTGCAAGAATGCCAAACCTTTATAACTCATTTATATCCAGACACCATGTGGATCTGGGAATCTTGCCTGCAAGAGTGGAATGTCTAAACAGGGTAAAACATGAATCATAAATTCATACAGTGGTTGAGAAACATAACGCAGTTCCAAAAATAGGAGCTCTACAGATTTTAAAGGTCTTCATTTTAAAAGTTTTGAGATCCTTGTCTTCCTCTTCTTCTTTTTCCTCTTCTTCACTAAAAGTTATGTATGTGTTGCACAGATAAACTGATTTTCTTCCCTATGGGTGGCGTACATCCACATCCCAGGTCGTTTCCATCCAGGTTCTGACCAAATCAAGTTTTGCTTCTCTTCAGCAAAAGCATAGTTCCGTGTGTCTTCAGACCACACTTTCAGGATCTACCCATCAAGCCTGTTAAATTAATATTTAAATGCTTTGACTAGCACTCCAGCTAGTTCCATATACAGTGGTGCCTCGCAAGACGAGCGCTTCGTTTTACAACGAAATCGCATAATGAAGAAGTTTTGCAATCACAAAAGCGATCACAAAATGATGTTTCTTATGGGTTTCTTTCACTTTGCGATAATCAGTTCCCTGCTTCACTAACCAATTATCGCAAAACGACGATTTTCGCACAGCTGATTGGCAGTTTCAAAATGGCTGCCGGGTAAAAAAAATGGCCGCCTGCTGTTTTCTGGGACGGATTCCTCACTGCACGGGGAGCGAAAATGTCCGCGCTGTGGAGGATCTTAGCTGGACAGTGAGTTTCAAGCCCATAGGAATGCATTCATCAGGTTTTAATGCTTTTCTATGGGCTTTTTAAAATCGCTTTACGTTGTTTTC